TCAGGTCCATGTTGGCAATGATGAGTTTGTGCACCTGCGAGTGTTCAGAAGCCTTCCTCACGAGAATAAGCCACTCAGCCTTCACAGTTACCAGAGCAGCAAGACTAAGCATGATGAACTGACATATTTCTAGCAAGCTTATCTTGTGCATTTTCCTAATGGCCACTTATGTGCATTTTCTGTAGGCTGCAACACGTTGACCCTTGTGCAAGCGAGGACAAGAATTTGTCTCTTTGTAAAGCTAATGCTGGAAAAAAACTATTTCTTATCTGCATTTTCCCCAGTGTGCAGTATCTAAATGAGGGCCATAGCTCTCCTTTCACCTACACTAATGCAACTTGACTAGAATACTGTGCCTGAGTTAAGTTTGTGGACTTCCCTGGTCTGTAAATTGCAAGGGGAATCTTATTAGCATTCATGTATCTGCAGCAAGGAGCAAGAGGAAAACCTGCATCTTCCCTGTGCCATTTTGCCAGAATGAATGTATGTGTAGATTTAAATTGGTCCATGTTTTTATTTCAAGGACCTAAAGACAGGGAGACTTGTGCAGGAGCAGATCTGAAAGCATGAAAAAGAGGAGGAGTGTAGCCTTGAAACAAACATTCCTTTGGTTATCATGTTTATCTTCTGGCAGCAGTAGGATATAATGTCCAGCAGAGGGTGTATGAGTTGAAAAATTGCTTATTTTCTGATTCCTAAGGAAAAGTCCTGGAGAGAAAGTTAAAGTGGGCAATGTATCTGCATAAATAACAATAAATACTTCTATTGAGTTTAGACTGTATTTTGACTGGTGTTTCACTGTTTTATTTGCTGCTTTTCAGTACTGGTTATTGTCTTGCTCAGAGTTTTTCACAAAATCGCAGAATCACAGAATGGTTGAGGTTGGAAGGGACCTCTGGAGATCATCCAGTCCAACCTCCCTGCTCAAGCAGGGTCCTCTAGAGCATATTTCCCAGGATCGCATCCAGGCGGGTTTTGAATATCTCCAGCGAAGGAGACTCCACCACCTCTCTGGGCAACCTGGTCCAGGGCTCTGTCACCCTCACAGGGAAGAATTTTTTCCTCATGTGCAGATGGAACTTCCTGTGGTTCAGTTTGTGCCCGTTGCCTCTTGTCCTGTCGCTGGGCACCACTGAGAAGAGTCTGGCCCCATCCTCTTGACACCCCCCCTTCAGATAGTTGTACACATTGATCAGATCCCCCCCCCCCCCCAGTCTTCTCATCTCCAGGCTAAACAGGCCCAGCTCTCTCAGCCTTTCTTCACAGGAGAGATGCTCCAGGCCCCTCATCATCCTAGTAGCCCTCCGCTGGACTCTCTCCAGTAGTGCCATGTCTCTCTTGTACTGGGGAGCCCAGAATTGGACACAGTACTCCAGGTGAGGCCTCACCAGGGCTGAGTAGAGGGCCATGAGCCTTTCTCATATTCCAGGTACCTTTATGTTTATGTTCTAATTAGAAATACTTCCTTTGACTGTGGTGAGGGACATGAAGGGCAACAAGACAGGCTTCTACAGGTGTATCAGGAGCAAGGGGAAGATTAGGGAAAATGTAGGGCCCCCCCACCCTGCTAAACAGGGCAGGGGACATGGTGACAAAGGACATAGAAAAGGCCAAAATACTCGATGCTTTCTTTGCCTTAGCCTTTACTGGTAAGACTTGCCTTCAGCAATCCAAGGTCCCTAAGAGCAGAGGGAAGGTCTGGAAAAAGGACAATTTGGCAGAGTAGGATGAGATTAGGGACCATTTAAACAAACTCGACATACACAAGTTTGCAGAGAAGGACCTAGTGGTCCCAGTTCCCAACAATTCGAACACGGGCTGGCAATGCACCTTTGTGGCAGAGAAGGCCAACGGTATCCAGGCTGCATCAGGAAGAGCATTGCCAACAGATCAAGGGCAAGTGATCCTTCCCCTCTACTCAGCCCTGGTGAGGCCACAGCTGGAGTGCTGGGCCCAGTTCTAGGCTCCCCAGTACAAGAGAAATGTGGACATACAAGCTAAGGGCCATGACAATGACGGGATTGACACATCTGACATGAGGCTGAAAGCAAGATGATTGCTGAGCCTTGAGAAAAGAAAGCCAGAGGGTGGGGGGAGAGGGCTAAGAAGAATAAGCTAGACTCCTCTCAGTGGTGCTCAGTGAAAGGACAAGAGGAAATAGCCACAAATTGAAATAACATAAATTCCATTTACACAAAAGGTTATTTAAAAAAAAAAAAAAAAACAAAAAAAAGAGGAATCTTTACTGGAACTTCTCTAATTGAAGCTAAAAACATAATACTCCGTCCCAAAATTCAGAGCTGCAAATGAGCTAATTCTTGCCCTAAGGCAAGAACAAGTACGCGGCGGGGTGGGGGGGGGGGGGGAAGGGTTGCTGGACTACATAAGCACCAGCAGGCCCTTCTGCCCACAACCATTAGCCTGTGATGCTGCGTAAGCATTACTGATTATACTTGTTCAGTTTTGTTTTTTTTTTTAAGGTTGGAAAAATTTTGAACTTTGCCTTGTATTTCTGTTTTTTTTTTTTTGTTTCCATGAAGTCTGAACTCTGAGGAGAAACAGCCTGTTTCTATAAGCCCCTTTTGTACAGCCTTAGTCCCATACTGAAGAAACTAGAAGCAGCTTTGGTAAGAGTGGGTGGGGGTGAATTCATGCATGTGTTATTGGCCATGGAGACGGTATTTTGGTGGGCTTGTTGCAGATTTACTCTATGGGCATATGTAACTAGCCTTGCTTAGGAGGAGGCTGTTGTGCCTCCAAAGTGATTATTAAAGGGCTTAAGGTCCCTCAAACTACTTCCTCAGCATATGTCCTTTTGCACACATTAGCACAACCTACCCTCCCCCAAATGTGGACCAAAGGAAGAGACTGATGTCAGGCTTATTATGTACTTCTCCTTTTGCTAAGTTTAAAAAAAAAAGTGTTTTTTGGAGATGAGAAGGGAGGCATTTTTTGATGCTGGAAACTCCCCGCACTGAAGCGTTTTCAAGGTTCAAAAGCTGACTGCCAACACCAAAAGCTATTTGGTGAAGATAGATTTAAGCTCATGCTGATGTTGCCACACTTACTTACGGTATCGCAAAGATTTTTTTTTTATCATTGGACTGCAGGTTTCAGCTCGTGGAAACCATTAGACTCTCCAGAGGTGGACTATTCCCAAAGTCACAGGAGGCCACAGGCTATCTCCACACGCTGAAGACTTCATGCAGACAAATGGGGGGGCAACCTCTTTCTAGGCACCCTATACCTGTGACACTGCCATTCCCACCCTTCAGTATAGCAGCAAAAACATGAATACAAGCAAGGTATTCAACAAAACTCTTTCAGCATTTAGTGTCTTAAACCTGAGCCCTACCTACCTCCTTGGTTTGGATTGTACTGCAAGTAATTCACAGCTCCCTAGCAGCAGCTCAGGTAAGAAGAAAGTGTTTCTGTTGTGATTTTGGGCTTACCCTCTACCTTCCTCAACTTGGAGCTCAGCTGAAGATTGCTCTCATAACAGGCAGCTGATGCTACAAAAAAGCATGCACTCTGCAAGTCTCTGACAAAACATTCTCTCACCAGGATGGTTGTTTCTTGCTCCAAGGGCTGAACGTTGGGATAGCGCTTCTTCTGTTGAGGCTGGAGGCCCCTCTCCTGCTGCTACCTCAAGTAGCTACACCAGTGAAGCTGTATTTAGAGGGGGTCCAACTTTTGGCTTCTCAGCTCCCCTCTGCAGAAATAACATGTCTCACACGCTTACTGAAAAGCGGCCAGTGGGCTTGCATTTAGTGCACTTAGAGCAACTCCCAGAAGACACCTCAGCCATGTGCTAAGGTATGCGGCCTGTCTTAGGCCTAAAGCACTCTCACAGCAGGCCCAAGTTTTGTCCTCAAAGCATGCCTGGCAGCATTTTGGAAAGAGAAACTGCAAAGGGTGCACTCCCCCTTATAGCTAGGGTGCCTCAGGGGCAGAAGCAGCTTTGACTCTTATATCTCAGCACAAGACACCTCAGACCCCATCCACGCTTTAGCCAGACAGCACGTGACAGGCAAGAGAGGAACAAAAAGCTTTCAAAACTTTTTATTGGCACGCTTTTACTGACAGAGGCCGAATCCACATGACTTGCAGAAGCGAGGAGCCACGTCCCACTGTTTCTCAGAAGTAGGTCAGAGGATCATCTCTGGTTTTGCCAGTCTGATAACTGACCAGGCTGGGACCTTGGTTCTCATGAGGAAGGCCCTGAAACACCCTGAGGTGGACATACATGGTATCAGAAACCTGGACCTAAAAACCAAAACAATGGGAAAGTAAGGATCATGGGTGAAGCAGCTTCAAACAAAAGCATGCTCTTAAATACTTGGAGAAATATTTCTCAGGAGCTTAACTGTAGGCATGTCTCAATTTTTCCTTCAACATCTCTTAACCCAGGTCTGGATGGAGGTGGCAGAAACTGCATCTGTAGAGAACTGAATAGAAACCTAAAGACTGACATGAAAAGAAAATGAATAGGACTGCCTAGATATGGAAGCACCAGAACTAACAACAGGAGAAAGATGTTGATGGCACCCTGATTAAGGTCGTCAAGATCCCAGCACATCAGTCTGCAACTTCTCAGGATACTCGGAGCATGAGACAAAAGACGATGAACTAATCCTGACGACTCAGAAGTGAGACCAGATGCAGAGACAGTGTCAACTCCTAGAGAAGACATATCCAAAACCAGCAAATGGTCCTAAGAACAAACCTAGAGAAGCAGTTACAACTTGATAGCCAGCATCCGTATTCATCTTCCAGTATTACTGCAAACATATTGGTGCCCGGACAGACAACTTTACGTGTTTCTTGGTGGCTATATGGGGGGGGGGGGGGGTATGAGCATGAGCGACTGAATTGATTAACAAAAAAAACTCATCTTCCCCTCCAGAAAGTTCTCACACAGGGTACTAGATTGTAGCAAATCTTTATTACCTACATACAGAGCCAAGCACAATGGACACTAAACTCTCACTGTGTGAGGTAAGTAGCATGCAGCATTAAGAGAAAATTTTGTGCCTTCGGCTCTTAGGCACCATGCTGCAGCCATCAGAAAGCATGGCACTATGTTTGTCTTGATAGGGATTACATCGCAGCTGTAAGCTCATTTGGGAAATACTGGTGATCTGGAAAATTCTGAAGTATAAAAGAATGAATCTTGTGACAGTAAAGCTCATTCCAGTTAATGCTAAAAATGAAGAAAGCTGCAGGGAGCGGGTAGGGAATGTGATACTGGTAAACCGTGCTGGACTTGTTTCCTGTCACTTGCAAGATTGGGAAAGAAGAGAGAAACAATCAGTTACAAGGGCTAGAAATGTTTTTCTTCTAAGTTAGGTAACATATCAATCATCATTTTTGAGTAGTTCAATCAAGAGGCTGAGCATGAATAGCTGGAGAACTAGTATTTTGCACACGTAATTGCCTAGGCCACCAGTACAATAGCACCAGGTGTGGCTTCTGGCTCTGCTGCAGCCTTTCTGTAAATTGTTACTCTTCATGACTCAGTTCGAAGGTGAAGACAAGCCTCACAGGTACTGAATCATTCATGTGAGTGAGACCCAGACTGGCCATATAATAGGTAGTCCGTTAGTAAAATTTCCTGAGGCCCACAGAATGCAGAAATAACTGTGGAAAGTTATCTGAAGGAGGCACCCAGGAAAGAAGGTTTGGCAGGGTTGGCCTCCCTGGGATCAAGGAAGCAAGAGCAGTGCAGAACATCTGCTCATCATGGCTGTCTGCAGAATTACTGCTCACCAAACCCTACCTGCCAACTTCTGCAACAGCAAAATACAGAGCCCTCTCAAGGGAACGCGTTGTACCAGGTGGACGTCTGTAAAAACTCTCAGGGGTTGTGTTACAGCGGTCACATGCAACGCTTACTCTACTTAAGGAAAGGCAGCCTGCCAGTAAGTAGTGTTTCCTGGTCTTACTTTCTGATTGAAAAACATGCCCAGCAATCTCTTAAGTGCTGCTTCTCTCAGTAAACTGCTCAAATCCAAGGGTAAGGTTTTCAGGCAGAGGATGCACGGTGCCAGAGGGCCCCAAATGAAGCATTAACCATTTCCCCACAGAATGAAAAAGATACAGAAGGAACTAGCAGGCAGACCACACCTCTGCAGCAGACAATACAGAACCAAGAGGTCAAGTACAGGCTTGTATGCAAAACCGGTTAGTAGCGTGTGGGATGCTTAAGTCAGATTTAAAAGATTCACTCTAATTTGCCATTAGAACCTCAGGCTGACCTCAGACTGATCACAATGAACACAATGTTTCCTTTCAAGGCAAAGTAGCAGCTCTTCCACTGCCTCTGTGGAAAGCAGAGTTAAGGCCAGTTCAGATAATTCAAGCCAATAAGACAGTCAATAGTCTTTCAAGAGAGATGATCCTAAAAAGGTTACCACTCACATCTCAAAAAGCACTGCACATGCTCCTAAGTTTTGCTATTCCTGTCTTATAGTAGTGACCAACAGAGGAGTTTTACAACCATCTGGAGATAGTCCTTAACTCTAGGCACATCAGAGGGTTTTCTACTACACCTGCTTCTTTTTTTTTTTGGTATGAGCCAATGTGCAAGTCACATATGGGAGTGATTTCTACTTAAACCATATATGTACAGACCTTAATGAAGTAGTTTGTTCCAGCAACAACCTGAGTCCTATATGCTATGGCTTGAAAGGTGCCATATGTTTCATTTACCCTGCTTTCAAATTGTGGCTTCACCTGTAAAAAGAAAGGGGGAAAAAGGGTTAGCAGGCTGGTACTAAGGCTTTCCTTTCACATCCACCACCCTTAATTTTCAGCTTCCTCAAATAAAGACATACACGTCCTTAATAACAAACTCAGCAGAATCAAAATAATTCAGTTTACACCAAAACCTCCAGCCCATTTCAAGCATTGCCTCCAGCCTCCTTTAAAATTCTGTCAGAATTAGGCTTCCTAGTAGTTCAGCCAGATAACTTGCAGAAAAATCTCTCTCCTGCTCAGTGCAGGGAAACCACTGACTGGTGCCCTTTCAATTTTTTGTCAAAGGCACCAAGTACCAAACCATATTGCCTGCAGGGTATGTCTTGTGCCAAGCACACCATTACTCAGTAATGGAAGACACCTCAAGCCTGGAACCCCTGAGCTTGTGCCAGTCGGTCCAGGAAGCTGCAGGTCCCTGCTGTGTTTCACAGCCTCAGAGCTGTGCTTGAGCTGTTTATTGCAAGTTCTGTAAGAAAAAAAAAAAATATTAAACTGGTTTTTTGAGAGTACTGAGGCAACCAACTGATAAGGTTGCTCCTGAAAGTTGTTGAAGCCTTGCAGATGAAGCTGTAATTCAAGCTAAGTATGCCATTAAACATCTAGAACTGCATAACACACAAACTGTAACAGTCATAGTGGTCCAGAATTGGATTAGGTACTTCTGTCTCCTAAAGCAGATGTAGGACCTTGAAAGGACGAGGCAAAGTCAACCCCAGAACTGCATAAACATCATCAGTCCTTCACTACGTAGCAGCTGCAGCTAATGTAGTTCAAGAAGAAACAATACTCTGTGCTGACAGTACTTACAGCGCAGGGAGATGTATTTATGCACAGTACCCAGCTTAAGCCCTGGAGACCTTAAAAAAAATGTACACTTACAGACTCTTTACACACCTATTAAAAAGGTGTAGAAGTTTCTGCTGAATTGCACGAGTGTAAGCGAAGTTTAGGTTCACTGGCAATCACAGTGGCCCTAGCTTCTCAGAGATCAAATATTCCTACAAATACTAGACTGCAACGGCAAGAGGGAGGCAGGCAACTGTGAGCACGGGTGGAAGTCTAGCCAGGTGTCTACGGCACCAGGATCTATGCACCAGTGAATGTTTTACTATAGCATCTTGCATCCGATTACATGAATTCCCAGTAGAAATGTGTCTACAACAAATGTAACCAGAAAACTTCTCTCTGGCATCTAGAAAGCATGAATACACTCTTGCAAGCTGGGTATCAGCCCCTCCTCTACATGACACACACGCTAATGACCTGACGCAGGTCAGATGCAAACCAGAAGTTGGGCAGATCAGGGCATCGCTATTCAGCAGCCTGCTCAGGTAGTCCCTGGGAGGGGTTGGGCAGCATGTTAGCACTTCCCATCACAGGGAAGTTTCACAGCAAAACACAGAATAATTGATCTTGTTCCCAGAACTTCCGCTTCCCACTCGCCGTCACTCCTCAGACATTTCTTCATACCAGCCAACTCTCAGGAAGCAACACGCAGATCAACAATTTCTGAACAGCCAGTAATTTTCCAATACCTTCAATTCACCATCCTGAGGCTTTTCATAACCTCTTACTCTATTCATTTACTAAAGTAATGGCCAAGAGCTCTTTGCTCTTCTTCCACACTAATGAAGCAGGTTCCACACAGCTCCTATCCCAGGATCAGCCAGTTATACTTTCAGCTCAGCACTACTAACTCTAGCAAACAAGGAAACACTGATTTCCAACGC